AGAAAAACGGTAATCATCCGTTATTTACGGGTATTTCTCATAAAAATGAGCAACAAAGGGCTTTTTTTAAAAGGCAAAACAATGAATCTGCTGTTTTCTGTCTGTGTCTCCTGTAATAACAGCTGAATACTGACGGCTGATTTACTGTCGGTTGGGAATTTAGAGCTCCCTGATAAGAATAATCAAACATCTGGGCTGAGATCTGGATCCAAACTCCTCTTAGATTTGGTCAGATCTGAAACACTTAGTAAATTGGATTAATCTAACCATGCAACAGAGAAAAATCAAGTCATCCTGAGAAAGAGATCCCCCTCAAACCACAAAAATATCCTTTTTCTGCTTCAGTCCACAGAAAGTAAACAGTTATAAACGTCCCAGAATCATCCAGGTTCACTTAACGAGGCTTGTTTGTCTAATTTTGTTAACAAATGTTTTAAAAGTTGAGTTATCCGAGCGGAAAAAAGGCTAAAACTGAGCTGGTATTTGGTAGTTTTGATGTAGGAACAGAAATGTAGTTTACTGTAGGCTGGGATTTAAGAGCTCTTGATAAGAATGATCAAACATCTGGGCAGAGATCTGGATCCAAACTCCTCTTAGATTTGGTCAGATCTGAAACACTTAGTAAAATGGATTAATCTGACCATGCAACAGAGAAAAAGCAAGTCATCCTGAGACAGAGAGCCCCCTCAAACCACAAAAATATCCTTTTTCTGCTTCAGTCCACAGAAAGTAAACAGTTATAAACGTCCCAGAATCATCCAGGTTCACTTAACGAGGCTTGTTTGTCTAATTTTGTTAACAAATGTTTTAAAAGTTGAGTTATCCGAGCGGAAAAAAGGCTAAAACTGAGCTGGAATTTGGTAGTTTTGATGTAGGAACAGAAATGTAGTTTACTGTAGGCTGGGATTTAAGAGCTCTTGATAAGAATGATTAAACATCTGGGCAGAGATCTGGATCCAAACTCCTCCTAGATTTGGTCAGATCTGACTCACTAAGTAAAATGGATTAATCTAACCATGCAACAGAGAAAAAGCAAGTCATTCTGAGACTGAGATCTCCCTAAAACCACAAAAAAACTCATTTTTCTGCTTCACTCCACAGAAAGTAAAAAGTTATAAACGTCCCAGAATCATCCATGTTCACTTAACAAGGCTTGTTTGTCTAATTTTGTTAACAAATGCTTTAAAAGTTGAGTTATCAGAGTGGAAAAAAGCCAAAAACAGAGCTGGTATTTGGTTGTTTTGATGTAGAAACAGATATGTAGATAAATAAATAAATAAAAATAAAAAGTTGAGTTATCAGAGCGGAAAAAAGGCTAAAACAGAGCTGGTATTTGTTTGTTTTGATGTAGAAACAGAAATGTAGATTACTGTAGGCTGGGATTTAAGAGCTCCCTGATAAGAATGATTAAACATCTGGGCTGAGATCTGGATCCAAACTCCTCTTAGATTTGGTCAGATCTGAAACACTTAGTAAACTGGATTAATCTGACAACGCAACAGAGAAGCAACACCTGAAAAAGCAAGTCATCCTGAGACAGGGATCCCCTTAAACCACAAAAAAGATCCCTTTTCTGCTTCACTAAACAGCTAGTAAACAGTTATAAACGTCACATAATCATCCATGTTCATTAAAGAGGATTGTTTGGGGCCTGGGGGTCTAATTTAGTTAATAAATGCTTTAAAAGTTGAGTTATCAGAGCGGGAAAAAGCCTAAACTCACTCAGAGCTCCGGTGTTAGACCCTAAAACCCCAAATTTAACCCCAAACTGAGCTCCAGAGGGACGTCAGCCCCTTAAGAAAAGGTCTGAGTTATAACTTTAGTTTTTTGTGGAGCTAAAATAAAACAAAAGGCAGCATTTTAGAGTTATATAAGGGTTAATTGGAGTGAAGAATGTTGTAAAATGCCATTTACAGACCAGTTTAGGCCTTTTTTAGCTTCATAATCTGTTATAACTGAGCTGGTTTTTGGTTGTTTTGATGTAGAAACATGAATGTAGATTTAAAAATAAAAAAAAGCCTAGTTATTTGGGTCCAGTCCCGGTCTGGATCCCGGATTTGTGACTGTCCTGATTAAATAAATAAATAAATAAAAAAACAAATAAAAATAAAAATAAAAAGTTGAGTTATCAGAGTGGAAAAAAGGCTAAAACTGAGCTGGTACTTGTTTGTTTGGATGTACAGTGGGGGAAATAAGTATTTGAGCCCTTGCTGATTTTGCAGGTTTGCCCACTTATAAAGAATGCAACGATCTATAACTTTAATCATATGTACATTCTAACAGTGAAAGACAGAATCCCAAAGAAAATTCCAGAAAATCACATCATATGAATTTATAAAAATTGATAACCATCTGATGAGGAAAAATAAGCATTCTTTGT